GTATGTACCACGGCTCAGCCAGTTTTGGGAGCCCTTATCACGCCCTATCTGGACCATTTTTCGACCCGACAGCGTTCCTTGTGCTATCGTTGGGAGTCACAAGTTCTTCCTAGAGAGAAAACTCAAAAACACTTTTAACAAGACCTTCTGATTGTGAATTTTTTGTGGAGCTCGCGAACGATCCTTACGTATAAAGGAACAGCAACGCAATCACTCAGGACTTGTATAAGCGCTACTGTCTTACGATTGTGAGACCAAGAAACAATCCTGATGTTCAAGACAACTAAAGGAATTTGGGGCCAGTAGGTATGGTTGTTTTGGTGAAAAGAGAGGGAGCTATGGTTTCCGATCAGTTCAACTTCGGGAAATAACCTACGCTAGGAAAAGAAGTGGCCTACAGTATGGTTTGCTTCATGGGTTTCAATTCTACGCGAATCAATCATTTATTACACGAGTACACACTTAGAAATTGAGAAATGGGAACAAGTTATTATAAAGAAAATAGCAGTGCAGTAGCAAAAACTAGTAAAGAACATTAAGAGCAAAACTTCGTAACACCTTCTCCCAAATCTAAGCAAGCGAGCCGGCAATTGCACGAATTTGCTCATTGTCATGAATAGCATGTCCGTACCCATACCCAACATTAGATAAAGGAACTTATGACCAGTTTTAGTGAGTTAATGATGTGGGTTAATCTTTCACTACAATTTCACCAAGTTACGTAAGGTCTGTATCAAGAGCAGATAACTCGAGCAGTAGATCGAATATTTGGAAGTTCTAGCCTTGCCGCTAGGTCATACCCACAACAGTCAGAACTGGTGCTGAGAAGTCCACAATGCTTCAAAAAGCGTTCTTTCTTCAGATTACATGTGCGTGTTTAGATCACCTGTGGGGTCTTGAACTTTAGGGCTGTGGGGCTGTAGAAACTCATAATCCTTTTGAAGGCACCGTTTACGATAAATTTAGGGTACCCTTTTTTGACGGGAATTCATAGAACTACTCCAGAATAGAGCGATAACAACGAAAAAAGCGCAAAAAACGATGAACAAAAAGAAATATAAAGGGTCAAAAAGGGCTGGAAAGGGGGGTTGGACGAGTTTCACATTGGAAGAACGGCGGTTAAGGGAGTGTTCGGGCGAGTGCACGAGGCGACGCAATGTCTGCAATAGCAGACAACACACCCAAGCAGGCAACTTCGCCCAATGCGAAAGTGATGAACGGCAATTAGATTTTGTAGTCAGCCTAGCGAGGGGCGGAGGCCTCCCGTCCCCCACTGTTCCTGCCCTTATTGTGCCCTATCCAGACCGTTTTCCGACCTCATTCCTGCACAAATGGTATCAGAGGGGGCGTCGAATTCAAACCATGTGCAGATCTCCGAAACCATTTTTTCGTGAACAGTGCCTTTAATCTTTCCAGCCTCTGGAGAAAACGATGCTCCGCTAAAGACAGCCGAGTGAAACTCAAATATAAACCTGTTAACAAGTTCAGGATATCATCTTCATCAGACAACAGGCACGCTGGAGCTCATAAAAAAGGTACCTAGGGACTATTTGGCTCCGTCAAGCATTATTCCAGGACGAGCGAATGGGTGTGTTTGAAACGTTTCTAGTGCGTACTCTTCAATAAAAAGAAGTAAGAACTCCATGAAAACAGTTTAAGTACTGCGGCATGCAATCTAATGAGATAGTGGCAAAACGTATTTTTCCCCAGACAGATTCAACTCTCGACGCAATGATGTACATTGCTTGAATATGCGATGAGTTTTGAGCAAGCAGGTGTACGCAGGGTAAACGCCGAAACTTTTAAGGCGTAACCCCCATCATAATAGCAAAGTCTTCCCAGTGCTCTTGGAGCCTACTCGCATTCCGCAGACTGTTTGGAGCCCAAAAACATCACCAACACAGTGGGGATTCGGTTTGTTCACCTACATTCCCAACTAAAATCGCGTATGTTGCTGGATTCCAAACGGCACACTTTGATGGATCGCTATGAAAATCCACCAAACAGCCAAACATCCGCAATTGGGTACCGTGCGCTTTTAGAGTATTCATCTCCAAGAAGGGGTCGTGTGAAGTGAAGAAAGATTTTGTGTTGAACTCGATAGCATAATTTGCATCTTATGTTCATCAATAGTATCTCATTGGTCCCTTGCTGTTCTCATAACTGAGTGGGACGTTAGTGGTGGTGGAACCGCAGAAGGATCCTACTCACTGGAATCTTTTAGCGTAGGAGTTTCTGAGAGTTGTTGCAACTAGCCTCTTGGTCGGATAAGTCACAGATCAGAGCTCCAAACTATAGTATTTTCAGGTCCTTGAGTATGACGATTTATTCGCAAGTTCGACCTATAAAGCGGTTCAGCAATGACAAACCTGCACCTGCACGGCAGAGCAAAATGCCCAGGTTTCAAGAAGACAGATCATGGAAGTGATCCCAACAGCCTCCAAGCTCACATGTGGGACAGATGAGTGCATTCCTAACTGGTGAAGAGAGTCTGAAACTCTCATAAAAAGAATTTTAGAGTCACGCTTCTTGCTGCCGATAAACCAGTTCGCAGGATGAAACCATGCATTCGATTGTTTCCTGAATTGTAGTTGAAGGCGATTGGCGTGGGCCAGTCGATGTGCAAATTACTGACTGTGGTGCGATTCCCGCGGAAAAGTTAACTCAAAAAATCCGCCCGTCTGATACTTATTCCCTATCCATCGGATACTGATATAATACAGATCTACTTCTCTTAGCAGAGCACGGGTTGAGGAAGGGAACCGGTCACACTATCCTTAGGTTTGCAAAACGATGCTGGCCTCGACTTCACCTATGTGAGGCTTCAGCAGCGATCCTACAACCAGCTGGCGGTCATCTAAGCACTTGGGTTATGGAGGGACTTGCCTCCTGCTGTTGCGAATTCGGAAAAGCAGAAAAACAAGAAAAAAGAAGGCGAATGGGGATGGGAGCTGTATTAACAGCTAGTTGTCACTCCTACGGGTTGTCAGATAGCGCTTTTTCTTGATCCCGAACATGGCCCTCATCTCGCAGGCAACGCTGCACTATGAGGTGTTTGAAAGGGGTATTCTTCCACTACTGATCCAAAATAATAGTGCAAGCTGTAGGAGAAATTAGATGCTCATGGGAGGAGGATGAGTAGACCTCCTCTGCCGGTTGTCCTTGGGTGTCTGTCGGTTGACTATTTCGCCAAAAACATATTCCGAATTTCCGAACATTTTCACATTATGGGAGGATGGAGGGTAGACGGCCACAACGTTGATGAAAAAAAATTAGCCCACAGATTAATGTCGGTCCCCTTCTTGCTTTTGATATTAATGCGATTCAAGGGCAAGATCGTGCTTTCCTGAGTGACGTGGCTACTACGGTTGACGTGAAACTTCTCTTTTGTTCTTCATTATCAGCAGCAGAGTACTTTCCTTTCGCCAACTTTGTCTGAATGATAAGGGTGTTCAGCTCGGAGCAAAAACTTGCAGCAATAAAATACTAATGCACTATTAGTTCATGCACATTGATTGCCTCAATCTTATGAAAAAAAAACCTTGTGAAATTCATTCCATTTGCATGATCTGACTATTACAGATGTAGCACTCGGGTACCACTTGGTCCGGAACTTCGGTTGGTGATTTAATCGATTAGTCACAAAAAATTTTGATATTCTCAAAATGTCCCCACCCAGAACTTTCAAGTTCTGAGAGTACGATACCTATGAGACGCAGATCTTTACCAATACTGTTTATATACCCAGGTGAGGACGGAGGTGGTGTAGTTGCAAATGCCCCACTACCTCACACGCACGGTCACAGGTTCGATTCCCGGATCGATACCCGACTAGGCCAACCGATAACATTATAATATGGATAATTGGCACCAGACTCGTCTGGGAGGATAAAAGCACCAAATTGCATGTAGGCCGACCACCGCAACTCATTCTATAGGCCATATACTCATTCAATACGCCACTACGATCCTGAATAGAAGTCGAATGCGTGGGCGCAACCCTCTGACGGGATTGAACAACGCCTCAACACCTTATCCTTATCCTTCTAGAACATCTGATGGCAACCAATTGGAATAAAACAACGGGAACAAATGATCAACTTGATACATATTTAACCCCACACACTACAGCTCGAACATTTAACAATCAACAATGATTTATTCACATAGCAAAGATCCATATACAGAAACAAAGCCCAACCCCTTCCTTGTACTTGAATCCTTCTTCAAATATTATAAATACAAACGATCCCT